GAGCTTCCAGCCTTCCGCTGAGCTCGGGTCTCGCTGTACCTCGGTCAAGCCGGCGGTCAGCGCGGCCTTCAGGGCACCGCGCATTGGGCCGGGAGGCGACTGCAGCGTGTAGACTCTCCTGCGCAACTCGTGCGCCAAGTCGACCTCTCGCATGGCTTGGAAAGGGTCGCCGGCGCTCGGTGGGGCCGGGGGGGCGACTGCGTTTGCCGGCGCTGCCCGCGCGTCGGCTTCGCCCTCTGCGCGCCTCTGGCGGCGCGGGCGTCTGCGGCGGCGTGGGGCGGCAAGCCGGGCCGCCGCTGCAACCGCCGCATCGTTCCGGGGCGCCAGCGCTTCCGCCCTCGCTGGTCCAGGGCACGGCATTCTGCTGGCGAGGTCGGCTCCCGCACTTGCAGCGTCCGCCGTTCCTGCAATCTCCGCAGCGAGGCTGGCTCCGCCGTACAGCTGCAGCAGCGCTTCCTGGAAGGGCGCCAGCAAGTAGCCATCCGGGGCCTGACAGCGCGCCACAAGTAGCGGGAGGCTGCAAGGCGCGCCGCCCCGCATGCCTTCAAACGCTTCGTGGGGCCACCATTGCACGGGCCTCGCATCCAAAGCCTGGTGCAGCGATACGGCTGCGCGGGCCTGGTCCAGCGCGACAGGGGGCGCGCCGCGCAGCTGCGCGAGCCAGCTCCCCCAATGCGCGCCGAGCACAGCATGGCTCCGCCACGCGGCGGACGCGGCCACTTGGAGTTGGCCGGCCGCGTCCAGCAATAAGGGCACAAACAACCAGAATGGTCGGCGGTGGCCGCGATATGCGGCCACCGCATGCTAAAAACCGGGGGTTCAGGGAACACTGCAGCCGCCTCAGCGGCGGCGGAAGGCCGCCACTGCCGCCGCAGCCGCCCTTCTGGCCACCTCCTCCAGGCCGTCTTTGCCGTCGTGGCCTTTGCCGCGGCCTGCGCGGCTTCCACCTCTGCCGCGCTTGCCGCCCTTGCCACCCTTGCCCGCTCCGCCTGCGTCACGGCGCCGGCCACCACGGCGCGGCGGGCTGCGCTCCCGCGGGCCAAGCGGGGTGCGGCTGCGGCTGCGGCTGCGCGACGGGCTCGGGGTGCGAGGCGGCGGGCCTTCCACCATAGCTCGCAGCGCCGCAGCTGTGCCGCAGAGCAGCGCTTCTGCGGGAGCATCCGCCCAAGGCGGGAGGCCGGGCCCGTGCACGTAGTGCTGCAGCGTTGCCACAGCAATGCACGGCAGGCAGCGGCCGCCCTCGCTTGCTGGCCGCTGCTGGCACACAGTGCAGGCTGCCATGGCGGGAATGTGCGGCAGGAGGGGCGCTTGGCTGGACGTGGCTGCGGCGGGGGTGTGTACTGAAAACGGCTACGGAGCACCGACAACGGGCCAGGAACATGCAATCCCGCAAGGCGAATTATGTGCCGCCCTGCCCCCCCTCCCTGTTTGCAGGCGGCATGCATGGTGCACGTCGCCGCCGGTGGGGGGCGGATTGGTTCCGTTGCTGTCGCAGGCCTCCTGCGGCAGCCTCTCCCGTCGTCCCGGCTGACGTAGCCTCGCGGAGGAGGTGGCACAGAAGCTCCTCCACCGGCATCCCCGCTTGGCCGGCCAAGCCTCGCAGCTCCGCCTGCCCGCCCTCGGCTACGCAGTCGAGGACTTCCCGCGCCGCTGTGAGCCAAGGAGGCTGTGGGCCGGCGCCCCCCGAGCCGGCCGGCACAGCAGCCACAGCAGGGCGAAGCACGCGCCCATGAGCGCGCCCAAGCCAAACCAGCCCCAGCACGAACACAGTGGCCCCCAACCAGGCGGGAAGTAGCGGGGGGCGCCCCCCGCGCACACGAAAACCGCGTGGGCTAGCGCCTCCTTGCAGGTGGGCGGGAGCTGGGCTACCGTGTGCGCGGTCTCCTCCGCGCGTTCGGCCCCCCATCTCGCCAGCGCCCACCCCACGCGGAACAGCAAGTCCATGCGGCAGCTCAGGGAGGGCAACCCTAGACTCGAGCTTGAGCTCTAAATTCCTTGAGCCAAAATGGCTTGAGCCAAAATGGCTACGGTTTTTTTTTCCTCTGGATGTTGGGCAACAACTTCAGGGATTGCCACTCGCGGGCTCTGCGGTCTGCGGGCGGGATCCCGGAGTTCGCTGCCTGGTGCCAGTGGCTCCGCCGTCAGTGCACGGGCCGCAGCCGAGAGTTTTCCTACGCGCGCCAAAGCCGCAGCCCGCTCGCCCGGCGGCCGGGTCTGGCCCCCAGCCGGGGCCCGCGCCGGCTGCTTGGCGAACCCGCTTGGCCACGCAGCCGGGACAGCAGCATCCTGGGAGCCAGCAGGAACAGCTTCCATCCCACAGCTTCTCGCGCCCCCGCCTGGCGTCTGCGTCGCCCGCGCTCAGGTTGCCATTGACGCCACGATGGTCAGCCCGCGGGCTCCTTTCGACGGCGTGCCAGGGCGAGGGCAGCACCAGCCGCAAGGGCCGGGGGCAGCGTGGTTCCCGGGTCAGTTGCCACAGCCGTTCGCCAAGCCCCCGCACGCGGGCCACACTGCGAGCGGAGACCAGCGCGGTCGCTCGGCCGCATGTGTGGCAGAAGTTCGGTCTCGCGGGCGGAGCTGCTGCGTTAGGCTTCCCCTCAACACCACGCGCGGCCGAGGAGGACGCCGCAGCCATTGCGGTAGCGCGGCGCCGCAAGGAGGCGCGGTACCCGGAGCTTCGCCAGCCTGGCCCGCAGCGGCTGGTCGTGCTTGCTAGCGAAACAGGCGGGCGGTGGGGCCCCGAGGCGTGCGGCTTCGTTGATCGCTTGGTGCGCCTCCGGGCACTCCGCGCGCCTCAGGCCGTCCGCCGCGCGGCCGAGGCGGGCTGGCGCCGCAGGTGGTGGGCACTGCTCAGCCTTGCAGCGCGCCCTCGCTTCCACTCTGCTCGGAGGGCGTTGGCTTTCCCCCGCGCGGCCGGCTGCGGAAGGCGAGCCCGACCTCGCCGATGTCCGTCCGGGCCCAGCCTTCTTGCGCGGCTAGTCGCCACGTCGGCGCGCGCGTTTCGTTCGCCTTTCTCGGCGGCCATTTCGGGTGGGGGGGTTGCGGGTTCCCTGGGTCTCACTGCCGCTGGACGGAAAAGGGCGTGCGAAAAAGAAAAAAGAAAAAAGAAGAAAAACATTTGTCAAGAGTTGCGAAAGCTGCCCGCAGGCGAGCACCATGCAGGGCGCGCCGGGTGGCTGTGGTCAACGTCGGGGACACCGGCTGGGGTGCTTGCTGACATGGGAGGTTGGGGACGAGGGTGGCGGGGACACCTTGAAGGGCATGGCTGGCTGCTGCTTCGCGTGTGGGCGGGCCGGCTCGGGCATCGCGACCCTGGGCTGCCAACACTCGTCCTCCGGCGCGGCCGCGTCTCACGGGCTGCCTCCCCAAGTCTGCGTTCATGTGTGGCGCAGCGCACACCGGGCAGCCACAGCCCACGGCGACTTCTTGGTTTGCCTTTGTTCGGCTTCGTGCTCTGGGGCAGGCACAAATGGGGCTAAGTGGGGTTGGCGGCTGCCGCCCGCTGCAGGAGTCCCGCCTGCGTCCTTCCGCGCTCGGCCGCGTGTCAGCAGCAGCGGCAGTCGCAGCTGCCGGGTGCGAGCGACGTGCTGAGCACGCCCCGCCCCACAACGCTGACGCAAAGTGGGCGACAAACGGATCACTGCTGCGTGTTTGGCAAGCAGATCACTATGTGTGTTTGGCTGGGCGGGCGGTCAGGAGGGCTGTGCTCATGCCAGGGCCGCTGCGGCCGCCTCGCTTCCAGTTGCATAATTTGCGTCCGGCCGCAAGAGAGGCCATGTGTTGAACGCACCGCTAGCCGCAGTCTCCACTTGGTGCGCGTGTTGCTTGGCACTTCAATTGCCAGGCGCCGCCCAGCAGAGAGCCCGCAAGCAAAATCGAATCAATCCGCAGAGGCACGAGCAAAGCGACGCTGAAGCATGCCGGAAGACACCCGCAACGAGAAGGGCGCAAAGCCTGACGTGTGGTTCCACCTGTGCAGGCGAGCCAACGTGGGCAAGTGCGTGCGCGTGCGCGACGAAATTGGCGGCGCGCTGGTTCCCACACCCCTGACACCATCCCCTTTCCGAGCGTCCAAGTACCACATGCCCAGTTTTCCGTTTTTCCGACTGTCCTGCCTTAAGGGGTGGCCTGGCGGGGATTTGGGCTTTAGCTGCGGGTGCACAGCGTCGGGGCACAGGCAGCCAGCTGCACTTCCCTGACCTCCGGCAAGGCGTTCGGACTAGCAGCAAACGCCCGCGCGGCGAAAGACATCAAGGCATGGCATGCTACAGTACACGGTCGAGCCCAAAGAGGCACTGCATATCTCAGCGGACGCATCCCAATCACGGCAGTTGTGAGCGAGACGGTCCCAACATCTGCAGCTCTGCTTGAGCATGCTGATGCTGTAGAAGGGAAAGCCGACCAGTTTTGGGCAAGCTCAAATGAAGCCCTCACTTCAGGTTGCGATGCGATGTAGGTTTCTGTCAGAAACACGGGTTGACACTTCGATTGTAAAACACTGCCGGCAGGAGCGCCCTGTTGCTTTGATTTTTTGCCACTGGTGACTCAAGTCTTGATTGATGGAAATCGTTTGCAGAACAGGGAAGACAGCATTGCTGCCTTGAGCCCCTGCACTTGCAGTACGGACTCCTGACTCTCAAGATGAGTTGCAAAGACACGTGGGCAACGGGCTTGTCAAAGCGCAGAAAAGCCGACATCACACTACAGCCTCACACATCTTCTTCAAAGATCTTGCCATCAAATGCGAACGAACCCTTGGCCCTGTCTCTTTTCTTGGCATGCTGGACCTAACCTGCATTATCTGGTGCCTTGTTCCTTTGGAAGGTGAGCACGGTGATACATTTTCCATACCCATACAACCTTAACAGCGTGTCCAGTTGACATCTAAAAGTTGGACAATGGAAAGCCAAAAAAGGCAAACGGGCGAAGGCTCAGCCAATTCTGGCCAAGAAACCAACACGCGAAGTGAGCCGCCCTACCGCGACCTTTGGGCACGCAGCTCACATGATGTTGCAACCGCAACAGCCCTTCTTCACCTCGCCAGGCACACTTCATGCCCAAAGGCCCAAACAACTGCATCTCAGGCCATGGGACAACATCTTTGGAGTGTCAAAATCAAGGGGCCGCTGTGGGGATGGCATCAATAGCGGGAACCAACATGAAACCAGTTCTCTTTTTCTGAGATTGTTAGGCAGCTGCCTTAACTGTCATAACCACACCCCAGCACCTCGAACAAACCTATCCAAGACCCCAGCGCCCCCAATTGAACGAAACAATTTCGTTTTGGCCGGTGCTTGGAACGTCCTTGCCGAAAGCCTCTGTTTGCTAGTTGGCTTGTGGAAACACGCATTTGAAGGAAGCGCCAACCACCCTTCTTCAAAAGGAAGCTCCAGCAACACAAGTCAATTGAAACACAACAAAATCCGCGAGCAAATCTGTGAGCAATTCACAATCAAGTTGGGAGAACTGTTTGGGGGAGGGAGTTGTTTGGGGGGCTCGGAGCATCCCAAACAACTTTGGCCTTGATGGTCTCATCGGAGCTGCGGTGAGGGCAGTAGACCTTCTTGCAGCCCTGGCCTTGCAGGTCTCATGGACCATGGGGCAAATGGCGATGGTTCAAAACCAATGGTAATAAGTGCACCACCCATTCTGCTCTATTTTAGTGGGGATTGGATGTTCACCTGGGGGTATGGGGTTTTGACCCACAGCCAAATCTCATGGACCAACTACCCTATCTGCTCCTCAGCCGCAGGAAAGGACGAATACTGAAACGAACCAGCGGCAAGCAATTTTGCGCATCCAATGTGAGCTACGGTGGAGGTGAGTGTGTACCTGCCCAACCTAGTTCCCTTTGCTGCAGGCTACGTACTTGTCATGCAGCGTTCATGTAAACTGCCCTCCTGCCTCCCCATTTCGTTGCTTTAGCACAAAGGAGCAGCATGGACAGCTCTGTCCATTCAAAACCAATGAGTCAGGCGCCTTTGTTTGAGGACGCCCTTGGTGTAATGTTTGCAGGGAAAGTGACTTCCCCTAGACATGCCGAGCTCTACCTTCCGGCTCCGGGGTCCCGTTTTTCTGACGAGGCGGACTTCTGCCCCAGTTGGTTTCTCCACCAGAGCCCGCCAGAACGCTCCGTCGGGCTCTGGGGCGCAGGCAGCAGCACCAAAAGCAGCAGCCTCGGCTCTGCAGCAATTTCTTGGTTTGGAGGGGAAGGTCGCCAGGAAGAAGGAAGGGAACTTGACATTCCAGAGCTCCAGATTAGATTGGACATGCAAAAAAAAGAACGCCTCGAAAGGGGAACTAGAAACCCTGATCCTTGGGCACATTCAAATCGAAACTTGCCTGGTTCAGTGCTTGGTTCCTGGAGAAAACTCGCACTGCCCGACCCTTAACAGCACACATCGAACTGGCTTCCTTGTCACGTGAGCAAGGACAAGCCATCAATTTGCAGGCAGAGGCCGAAAAAAGTCCAAAATGATGGTCTCGTGTCCATTTTCAGGCAACATTTTTTTTGTTCAGCGCCCCAAAAAGACCCGGGGCTCTGGAACCAGAGCAAGCGATGGGCTCCAAGACTCCGGGCACCCCTTGCAGCACGCCAGCACCGGCGCGCAGGCGGAGTCGTCCTTCACCCGCAGACTCAGGGAGTTGATGTCAACCGTTCGGTCCACCACCCCGATCCTGGCTGAGAGGGGTGCAGGAGGCTCCAAGAAGACCCTCCACTGGCTTGGGCTTCGTGGCAAACGGGAGGGCACCCTTCCCCTGCTGCGAAACCACAAGATTTTCACAAGAAGTTCCTCACAAGGCGGGACAAGGGCAAAAGGTTGGCGACACCCTGGCGAAACACGGCCAGGACTCTCTAGCAGGACTCGCGACCGGGGACCCCTGATGATCCCGAAAGACTTCGAGATCTGTGGCAAGGCGAAAAGACGTCCTCTGGAACTTCAGAATTGACAGGGCTGAGGCGGCCCGTTTTGTGTCCCAGACGAGCAGTAATCTTCGTTGCTCCAGCTCCAACCCAATGCTTCCTACCTCCTGAGCGGTCCCACCTTGACCAGTTCTCGATGAAGTCCTTCCAGCTCCTGCAAACAAAGGAAACCCCAAAACCCAAGCTAGGGGAAAACTTGAAAAGGACCTCTAAGAACTTCTCCGTGGCGGTTTGTTCATTGGAGTGGCGTTGCCCAACTTCGCAGAGTCTGACAAGAAGCTTCTCCCGGGCGCCCGACATCCAGAAGGCCCCATCGTCCACATCTTCGAACTCCAAGGCCTTCTTGACCTAAAGACACGGAGTGCCTCAACGCACAAGGCCTGTGCCACTGCCATCTCCTGACCTCCTGACATCTCCTGACCTCCTGACCACGTGTCCCCCAAGTGACGAGCGGTGGGACCAGACCCACGATGCCCAAAAAGACATGCTACTCGTACTGGGGCAAGGACCGCTGGATGCTCCGCCCACGTCTTGCTCTTGTCACTCCAATCTCCACTCCACTCTCCTGACCAGACAGGCAGACAAAAAACGGCTCCGGATCCTGCTGCTCTGCTTCGGAAGACGTCCTCGCCCCCAGGGGTTTCTGATCTGAACCATCTTGTAGTCCTACGCCGTGCGGTAAAAATAGTCGCACTGGTCGTGTGCAGATTGCTCCCCACGAGAAAAAAATGTCGGCACTATCAAAACAAAGAAGTCCTCTCTATAAACGGCCAAGAACATTACCACGCTCACATGACGAATGCGCCCTGAAACAGCTGCATCGCATTTCTCAAATCTTTCATTGATTCAGCGCCACTTGTAGTCGCCAACAACATGGCCGTCGTCGAGAACTCGTTCAACGTGGCACACGGAATTCGAACCAAGCAGAACACACCACAGCGCATGATTGCAATGTGAACACCTCCTATCAGCATCACAATTGCCAGGCACCAAGCTTGACAGGTCGTTGATGCCTGGCAGCATCCCCACTTTTCCTCGCCGCGACCCGCCCTGAAGGGCGGCTCTGCCAGGGCATCAACTTCGTCCATTTGAAGAGATGCTTTGTGGGCTGCCTCTATTCTCTGCTCCTTCTCCTCCGGCTGAACTGCCACTTTAGCTTGAGATTGCCGCACTAGCAGGCTTGGGAACAGAAGCAAACAACAATGGCAAGCTGCGAGTTGGCGCTTGAGCTTGAGCCGAAATTGCTTGAACTATGTAAAAGAGGAAGTAGGCAGCACATCGCCCGCAAAAAAAAGTGATTGTCTCGCAAAAGTGCCCTGGTTGGTTAACACCTGCGCTCGGAGCAGCATTGCTCCAAAGGCTGGGTCCTTCCCACCGAGGCCCATGAAGCCGTCATTCACTTTGCGCACCTCCAAGGAAGGGGAATCTTTTGGCAGGCGAAATGCCAGAGTATCCTGTTGATTGCGGAAAAAATAGCCCTTCAATGTTTTGTCACCGGAAGATTGCTCCTTCGTATAGAAACACACAAACACACACCGGACGAACCCTCTTTCCGACTCAAATAGCTGCGGGCCTGGAGGATGCTGTAGGCATGTCCCGTTACCAGGCCATCTTGTCCACTGGCCCCAGAGGCAGAAAGAATGCTGCCTGGCGGCAAAGTCACTTGAGAAAGTCACTCGTGGCAATCGGGTTTCAAAAGCAACCAAACATCGGGGCTTCCTCTGTTGCAGAAAACGTTTGTGGGCCATCAAAAAGTGACACGACTGGTTCGGATGGTACTGCTTCTTGAAGCCCCTGCGGGTCCATGAAAGTGCCACTTAGGGTGGTGAAACTGTTCATCCATCCCAACATAATTTTTGAGAAGCCCAAAACATCTTCACTATGAACCTAGTATTGCTTCACATACCAGCGCCTAAAGAGTGGTACTTCCGCAAGATCTCAAACCTGGACCCGTCGATCCACGCCAGGCACAGCTTTGCTTCGGCGAAGTGAAACCTACTTTGGGGCCAAGTCACATGGTGTCGTTGTCGATCTTCTCGTCGGTGCCGTACAATCCGCATTTGCGCTTGTCGTGAGGGTCGTCGAAGTTCCTCAAATCCTGGAACGACATGCTGTGATACGGGCGACAACAGCAGCACACCAACTGCGAGTACATGTCTGTCCTTCCGAGCCCATTCTTTCTTGGAGTCATCTCGGTAGAACTGGCGCCTTGGTGAATGGCAAGTGGATGGCATGCGGCATGTCTGTTGCTTCTGACATAAGCTTCGCACGCCGGGTCCCCCGTCATCGCGCGAATGGCCCAAATGGTTTGGCCTCCCTGGCACTGGAAACCCTAGGCAGTCCACGGACTGGCCCAAATCCACTGCCTCCAGCGCGGAGTAGCCGCCGCAGAACTTGGCAAAGGCCTCCGACGGCACAAAGCCAGCGCAACCACGGCTTCTCTTGGACGGCCAAGAGTCTTACGACACTCCCAGCCCCTCAAACCCATGACAAATCTTTCTTCAAGTCCTTTGTTTTGCTTCACAAACGCGTGACCGGTCCGGTGGAGTCGTTTTGGGGGGCTCGTTCTTCTCCTTCTCCAGAAGCATGACGTAGAGCTCGTTGTTCTTGGGCTTGCTGAAGAGTGGCTTGCAGGTGCCGTTGTGGTCAAAAATGGCCTGCCACCAGCTTCCGCCAAGTCTAGAAAGTACATGGTGTGTCTGTCTCAGAGGACGTCAAAAGGAAACCGCCTGCCTGCAGTCCCAATATTTTGAACGAAAAATACCATGTCAATTCATTGGACACGAAGTAGAACCACCGACACTTTCGCTGAGCCAAAAGTGGGGTGCCTTGTTGCAAGGGATGTAGTCATCGATGGTGATAATCTCCCACTTGTCCTGCGGTAGGTTGGCTATGGCTCAAAACGAAGCCAGGGTGCAAACAAGCCCCCTTTCGCATTTGAAATCTTTCACACATCACAGCTGGCATGACACATCAGTACCCTTGAGTCTCGATCAGCGTTGCGACAAGACCGCGTGCCAGGGCAGGTTGACGAGTTCTTTACTCCGCCAGCGGGTACTGAGCAATGTTTGGTGGGCTAATCCACATCACCAGGCGCAGATGCCATTGAGGGCTTGCCCTCCAGCTGTACAGAACATGCATCGACGCCACTCAACGAACTCTAAATTCTGAAAAGGCAAAGAGCAAACTGGTTCCTCAAGCAAAGGAGCCCAAAGCCTCCGTTGGGAGGGCTATATACACCTACGGCAATCTACAAGACACTGGCCAAAGAACGCAGCCAGAGGCATTCTGCTTCAGGGCACATACGAGGTAGATGACCTCGTGACGACCGCGCAGTGCTCGAATTGGAGAAAATTGGCATCGAAACAAAACGAAACCACTCGGTGCGAATCCTCTGGTGGCAAAAACATTAATAATTAATAATAATAATAAAAATAGTAATAATGATAATAATAATGATAATCATGATAATAATCATAATAATGATAATAATAAGAACCAAAAAGAACAAAAATAATGATAATAATAACAGTGAGGAACAAAAACTGTAACGCGATGCACTTGCTGTGACGGCACGACTGAATCCAACTCCTGAGGCTTCAGCATAGGTGATCAGAAAGACCCAACCGGACCTGAGAAACCGCGGAATGGAAATCGAGACTTTCAGGCTTCTTGGGCCATGGTCATTTAGTTCGGCGCCTGCTGAAAGTCCAAGCCCAAACAAAGCCATTCATTTGGAGTCCCCAAGGAGGGAGACCCCTTCTTGGATGGCGCAAGGGAAACGAAAAGGAAAGCTCTTTTAGGACACGCCGTCTTGGTCGCCTTGGAGAAATGCCAACCCATTTCGGCCATGCTGAGGAGTCCACATTCCTGGCAAAGAGAATGAACAGCAAAGGAAGATCAGCACCTGGGATGCCGGAAGATGCTGTTCGCTTCCCAAGAAATGAATCCGCATTGCGATCAGAGCAACACAGGGAAGCACTTGTGAGGCTCATGTTTGAGGAATTTCTTTAGCTAGCGACGCTTGCAACTTTCAAACTTCAGTGGAGTTTACAGTACAAGACTGGCACGTGTCCTTCCCAACATTACCAGGTGTGCAATTAACGATGCTTGTGGCATGCTGACTGCCCTTTCGATGTGCCCGAGCGCCAAAGGCATGAGGGTGATGAAGATCTCAATCACCGCCGGCGCAAGCCCGTGGATGTGCCTCAGCAACAAACACTCCTTGCGGGCTCCCAGAGGTCACCATCCTCCAAAAACTGAGAAAATAAAGTCCCCACAGCTCACACGTAGCTCGCCTTTGGACGGGGCCCCTTCTGGCTGGAGTATCCAAAGTGTCAAATCTGCCAGGAAGGTCACTGACTCTCCCAAACTGAAGATCTTGGCACAAGGTCGCCCGCAAAGTTCACTGCGGAAGGCCGAGTTTAAGGGTCCCTCACCGGTCGGACAATGAAGGGTTGGGTGGGAACGTGGCCCGCAAAGCCTAGCTAAGGGAGTCCCACTCAGACTTGAATCAAGTCGCAAAGGAAACGGGCCATGCGCGAGGAACACTGATTGTATGGTCCAAGGAATCGCCAGGGCCAGGAAAACGTTCTGGACGTTGGCGCCAAGGGCATTCGCCACAGCCATGCCGGCCTGACGTGCTTGCGCATGGCCCAACAAAACAAGCTTCCCCTGACTCCCCCCCAAGAAGAAGTAAACAGCTTTCCGACTTCCCGCAAGTTCGGCCGCCCGTGTTCACAGTTCGGTCCTTCTTCGACTCGATCAACGAATCGATCAACGAATCGATCCCAATCCCAGTCCTTCCCCTGGCGCGCCACGCAGATCCCGGAGAAGACGTTGGGGAAGGAGGTCCCGGCCGCTGCCACGGTGAAGCCCAGCACGTTGTTCGGGATGTCGAAGGCGTTGTGGATGCCATCGCAGGCCGTGACCACCAGGGAGCTCAGCAGCCCCAGCCACAGCATGCCTGGCTCAAGAAAACAAACGGGGAGGGCGGGGGGGGGGTTCTGAGAAAATGGTATCCGAACAAATAGACATGTCATCAACGGCGTTATATGGTTTGAGATAACACTTCCCTGAGTGCCTCGCAATGGGCGGTGTTTAAAGTTGGCTCCGGAGTCGGTCGACATGATACCCAAAAAAAGTGGGTATTTGGAGTCGGGGGTGGAATTTGGAGTAGGCGATAGATTTCCCCCTTTAACATCGCCCAAGGAAACTCTCCCCTACACACACGACCCACCTTTTTGCAATTGGCACCATGTCAACCCGTTACTAAAAAAGGGATCGCGAGCCAACATGAAAGGGCTCCTGCGTTTCTCTGCGAGTTAAGTGTCGGCATCCAACGGAGAATACGTCAGCTGGATTCCTGCCTCTCACTGCGCTTAGTGCTCCCGCTTCCCCCTCCAAAAAAGGCCAAAGCTGCTCATCAGGAAGGCCAAGGGGTACAGGTGCTGCAGGTCAGGCCGGTCCATGTCAGGGATCGTCGCTCCTCTTCGCTGGAAATGGAAAGTGCTGGGGTCAAAAAAAGCCAGAAGAGAGGGGGCAGACCTTGCGGATACAGGAACCCAAGGGTCCCTTTTCGTAGACTACGTACATTTTATAGGGGGATGCTGGACACAGATGCTAAAAACCTTGGGGTGTTCAATCCCCTTGACCACCATGCCATGCCATTCCAACCGCAAGATCCCAATGTCTTGGGACCCTTCCCCAACCGCGAAGAAAGTGCAACAAGAACCTACAGGCATCCCCAGTTGGAAAAAAAAAAGACCACAGACCACGCAAAAACGAAAAGATGATGCTCCGGCAAAACAAAGACATGCGCAAAAGCCAAGGCAAACCAAAAAAGAAAAATGCCATGCTATCCGCAAACCGACGTAACCGACCCGTCTCTCCGAACCGACCGGGTCCGACCAGGTCTCCTGCCAGGGATGTGACTGGGAACTGCGCCCAGGCCACCCACTCCTTGAGGAAGCTCCAAGACTTCCTCGCAAGCGCTGGCACAAGAAAACCTTGCCTTAGAGTCTACCAAACTTTGTTAGGCAAAGGTTGTCTTGTAATTGCACTGAAACCCGGGTTCTCACGCCCTTCTCCAAACTGCCAACTGGGCATGTTCAGAACTAGGGACCCATTGAAAGCTCCTTCCGAGGATAGGGAGAAAACCAATGCGGATCACCACGCACCCAAAAGCCCCACGTTCGCCGGCTCACTTCGGCAACAAAAAGCAAATCACTTGCGCACCTCGCTGACCAGAAAACAACATTGTAAAAGGGTTGTTCTTTGCACACTGCATCGCCAGTCTACTTTGGCGCCAAAAACTGTTGCGCAATCGCAATCCGCTGAAAACACCCCACACACCACGCCAAATGCAAAACTCTCAGCCGAGCTTCTCCGGCGGGCGATCTGCTGACCTCCGCCGCAGGTCGATCAGCTTCTCCCGAAGACCCACATACCAGACCCTCGCGATTTCGCAAACACGGAGCATGATGAAAGTAAAGGCGTTGACACGGAGGGTGGACACTCCCGTCGCATGCGTTTGAATTCAGAAGAGTGCCAACAAATCGTTCGAAGAGAGACGGGACCTGGGGTCCACACCGGGACATCCTTTGACATGTTTTTTTCTCTTGAACGTCGAAGCTTGCTTCACTGAACTGACCGGAAATGCGCGGGCATGTTGTTGCGTGTGTACAAACCAGGAGCTTGTTTCTGGAACCCAGCAGTCAGAAGTCGCCTGACACTTGCTACCTTCAACATGCCACATGCGCCCGCCTCAGGGTCTCCTCATCAGCATCTCAGCAACCAAAAACCCAATGCAAGCGAATCAAATCGATAAGGCAATCTCCATCAGCGGTTCAGTTCAGGTGCCAAGGCGCATCCAACAGCCACAAGCCTGCATGCCCAAAGCCCCACGCACATCTGAGCCTCTCACCTGTTTTGGACGCGCTCTTGGGAGAGATGATCTCCAGCGTGATGATGTTCCCAAATCCATGATCCACATGGAGGTGGAACCCATCGTGGCTCTTCTCACCTCGTAGCACTCTTGCTGCGCTTTCTAGCCAAACCCCCTCGAGTCGCGGTGGGCACGTCCCCCAAAGCAATGACAATCATGAGGCGCATCGCTCGCTCTTGGTTCTTTCCGCTCAGGGCATCGCAGTATAAGACCTCCTCGAGGGGAATGACCTCCCAGGGCGCATCCCTGAACAGCTCGTGCTGAGCGATCGAGGTCAGCGGGTCCGCCATCAGCTGCTGCAGCTGTCTCTCGTCCAAGAACCTGAGCGACCCAAGGCCTCTTTGCACAATGAGCGCGCAAAGGGCAGGATACTGCTAGATTTCACGACGCCCAAGCAAGAAGCACTTGGAGGTGTCTCTTCCCCAGCCAGCTGAGGAGCACTCTGTTCTGCGTTTTCTGAGCCTCAAAATTTTGAGGCCTCGAAAGGAATAGTCAGCCCGTCCGCCCGGCCCTTGCAGCTTCGCGGCTCGGGGTTCTTGACCATGCCGGCGCGGTGCCAGTGATTCTCGTGGGCATGCTCGTTTCCTCGCTGGCCATGCAAGAAGACGGTCTTGGTTGCAACAGTGGGATTTGAGAAGCCCCACGTACTCGTCTCAAAAGCCCTTCAAGGCAAGAGTCTGTCATACACCATATCCACATCACACTGCTCCTCATTTGCCTCCGTCGGGTCCGCAACCGTGCTGATGATGAGAGATTCATCTTGCAGGGTGCACAGATGTGGGGAAACATGTCATTGTCTTTGCCACAAATGACGGTGAACTGTGACCGTTGATTGACTCATGTATGCGGACGGTGCTGATCAACCCCTCTTTACCCTCAAAACAAGCCCGCCCGGCAACAAACGATTTGTGCATCAACTCCGCGGCTTCCCGAGCCTTGTAGCAGCACGAAGCGGTTCTCGAACCTGGCAAAGGTTTGAATCCTCCCGACTCCATGTTTTGAAGCCTATGACTCCTGTGAACCAAAAGCCACATTCCTCAAGCTTTGACGCCGCTCGGAAGAAGCGGCCTGTGGTTCCGGTCCATCAAGCGGTTCCGGTTGTCCGCCCGGATACTCAGGAGTGTGCCGCCCGTTGGCTCAACGCCTTGGCGTTTTTTACAAATGCCCATGGACGGTGCCAGGGCCATGGACTGGTGGCATGCACTGGATGAACAGCAGGAAAACTGACCTTTCCTGCAGACATATTTGGCCATGGTTCAAAACCAATGGTACCATTTTGGGGGCCTGGTGCACCACCCATGTTAGAACCTAGTGGTTGGATTGGGATGTTCACTGGGGGTATTGTGGTGGGGGAAATGCCACCTGTGAACCGAGGGACCATCTCCGGCTGCTCCCCAGGCATTCAGATTCTCCTTGGTGCACTGCCGGTGGTTCTCGTCCATCAACGGCTGCAGCGTCTCGCCTCGGAGCCCCAACACTCCCAGGTTCCCTCAGGCCCGGCAGGGCCGGGCCCGACAGAAGTGCGGCGATTTCTGGGGAAGAACACTTGGAAATGCACCAGTGACAGCCCCTTCCATGGGTGGACTCTTGGGAATTGCGTGGGGGTTCTTCGGTTGCTTGTTCATACTCTTTTAGATAAGCAACACAGGGCATGCTTTTGGCCAGTGTGCTTGCCGAGACGCGAGCTACAACTGGGGGATTGAGGAAGTGCCAGATCCGGGCGGTGAAGATCACTGAGAGGACGTAGAGAACGCCCCCCAGCAGCAGGACCAGGGACTCCACTCGGGAAACCTCCCCATCGTGCAGCGCCCAAAAAAGCCTCGGGCCCGGTCCTTTTGCTTTTCCGGGCTCGTCACGCGCATTGCTAAAACCTTCTGAAGGACTGAATCAGGCTCAAACCTGTTCTGTGCCTGGCAGCCTAGCAGCAGTAGCACGGAGAGCACGTAGAAGGACACGTCCCGAAAAAAGCTGGGACGGCTTAACTTGAGGGGCAGGTACTCGTCAGGGGTTGCAAGTACCGCCGTGCCGATGATGACAAGCACATTGAAGACCTGAAGCACTGAGCCGTTCAGGAAGCTCGCTCCCAAATTCCAACAAGCTTTGTATCCTATAATGATAACGTTCGTGCATGTGCACAACGCATTGTTAGAAGCTGTCCAGGGTGACCCAGATCAGGGTTGGCACAAGGGTTCCGACAATTCCCGAATTACCAGGGGCCCCTTGGAGCCTATGAGCAATTCGAACCGCCTCGCCTCCCCACCCACCACTGCGCCCACTCCGATGCTCGAGGGCTGGAAGATGTTGATGGTGTTCAGGGCCAGCTCCGGGCCATTGCAGCCCAAGGCCATCAGCGTCGCCCCGGCCACGTCGTCCGGGATGTGAAAGCGCTCGCAGATCACCTCTGTAAATAACAAGAAACCCTCTGCTCTACAATTTATTTACATGGGGATTCATGTCCACCAATCTTTTTTCAGAGGTCCGGAAAATTAACAATATGGCCCATGTGCAAATGAAATGGAGAGACCCCAATCACTGTGTGCATAAACGCTCGAAGAATGAGATTCAGGAACAACAGCCCAAAAAACAAGAGAAAAAGGTTGCACTCCAGTGGGCAGCTGGGTCACTTCAATTGTCCGGACAAAGTGGATGTCGCAAACGTGAGCCATGCTCCAGAATAGGTAAAGAATGGCAGGCCACCACAGCCAGCGCAAGTACGTGATGTCCACTTTCACTTCAGTTTGGCCAGGAAACACCGTCTTGTCTATACGCACCTCCTCCTTACGCTCTGCAAAGTCTCTCCTCGGAGCATCAGGATGGGGGCTCATCGTAAAAGAGACGGAAGCCACTTCATGCTGTGAATACACACAACACCAGGCAATATGGTTGCAAATGTTTCCTGCTCTGCCCTTGGCATTGCTTGAGTTTTGGCTCACATGCTACTTATTTGCTTTCCAAGAGTCACTGAGCTGGATTGGTTAAACCTCATGTCCAATGTAAACTGTAGAACCGACCCGCAGGTTGGACAGCGCCCAAAATCCGTTCACTCTTGGTTCTATCCAAATAGCGAAGAGTCTCAATACAGACCTTGCAGTAGCCTTCATGAATCCATGGCCGGTAGCAGTTTCGGGCGCTGCTCAACTCAGCGTCTTCCTTCAGAAAAGGTCCTAAACCGGCTCCTGGCTGAGGCCCCAACAGCGACGGTGCCCGCAACGCACCATTTTCTTCAAACCTGCGCAGTCGCACTTTTCTCCAATTTGGGACCCTGCGGCCAAAGCACAATCTCGATTCTGTGAAACGCCCACCAGCCCTCCACTGAAGAGCCGAATTTGGGCGTGTCCCTGCTCAGATGTTTGCAAAAGGGCAAACAAAATGAAACCAACCACCGGGTGCACATTCAGTTCGCTGAGCTCCGCGCACTTGGGAAGCCGCTGGAGCCAGCAAGCCCAGAAGCAGCACTCGAGACACGCGACACATTAAGGAGCTGGTGGCAACCAACGAAAGTAGCCCTTCTCCTTCTGATGTCTCTTCTCCATTTCGGAACTTCAGGAAAACACATTGACGCAGTCTCTTTTTGAGCTAGTGTTCTGGTGTTGGTCAAACCCTCTTGCTAAGGAGGGGTGCGCTTGTCTTTCCGATTTCATGTGCGCGTGTATTTCTGGATGCTGAAATGCTGCAGGCTGCTCCACTTTGCTCCCAGCGAGATCCGGACTCCGGGACTGCGGAGCCAGCGGCCCACGGCTCCTTTGCCCCATCAAAGAGGCGAAGCACGTACTTGCCCCGTGGGTTCACCTCCTTTGTCCTGGCGTTGGAGACTCGCCAGGAGCGGACCATATTGTGCTCTCCCCAAAGGACCTCCCAATTGCGACTGATTCAAAGCCCTGGCTGCGGTGACAACTTTGCGGCCCCTCCTTCCCCTCCCGACGCAAACACAGAGTTACAGGTTCAATGGAAGTCCGACGACGTGCTTCGTCGGGAGTCTGGAGGCGACCCAAATTGTCGACGCGTGGACTCGCATGACCACTACCCCGCTCCCCAAAACCGCACAACAATTTAGGTGGGGAGGGGAATATTGGAAAACCTGCAGGTGGCAGGTGTGTTTTAAAGTATCAAGTACGACTATTCATGAACCCTCCGAGGAAGGCTTTGTGACGGCCGGAGCGAGCGACTGCCAGCTCCTGAAGACTGCCTCGATGGCTCCCTCGTGCTCCGCCAGGCAGGCGATCGCGGCCAGGAGCCAGCAGTCGCCAAGCCCACCTCCAGTCGGAGACCGGTGGTTCCCTTCTTGTGCGGGTCAGTTGAAACCTTTGTCTGTCCTTGGATGCTCATGGCACAGTTGCTTAAGGAAACCCAAAGGCGACGCGCAAAGCGGTCCGAACACCCCCGTTGCGCCTGCACCTGTTTCCCGGCTTCCCGCAGTCCCTCCCATTCCCGCCTTGGCAAATGTCCCTGCTGTCCACGTCATCGCCTCAGCGTCCAAACGTCCACTGTGGTCTGGGTCTGGGCTCAATATAGGGAAACCCTCTTTTGGATGGTTCCTTTCCAAGCGGAAGAGAAAACCGAGCCCATTCCTGGATGTCTACCTCCTTAATCGCAACTCAGCCTCGGGCCGAAGAGCTGCACTTTCCGTTTCTTGCCCTCAGGGGCTACCGACGACCGACATCACCAAACGGCTCCCGATCCGTCTGTGGCAAGCCCCAGCCTTGTCGTCCTCGGTCAATGGAAACTGGATACACCTGGCGCTGCCAACAAAACCTGCCACGACCCGACTAGAATTTCCTTACCAAAAAATACGCGTGCCACATCCAGATATCTGTTCCTTCACATGCCAAGTGACGCCGAAGATAAAAACAAGCCGTGCAATGCATACTCGCAACCAAAGCACCTCCTCCAATGCACCTTTCCCGCAAACTTTTGTCCTCGCAAAGCCCACGCACGCTTGTCCGCAGCCATTTTGGGCCGCCTGAAAACCTGAAAACCGGCATGAAGCCCAAAAGCCGTGTTTATTTTTTTCCCTTTTGAAGGAGTGTATTGGGATTCCAACTGATCAGCCAGTTCTTGGCGGACAAATTGCTGACTGAACGGAGCCGCGCCTTCGTTCCGATCGCCCGCTGCAGAGTCCCCCTTGACATCTCCCAAAGAGCTGTCTTCTGGAGGGAAGTCCTGACGCAAGCCGTTTGCCAAGAAGGTCGTCCCCAAAGATATCAATGCTCCCAACACACAACTCTTGTATACAATTGGGGGGAAGCAGCCAATAATCACAACATCGCACCTTGTCTTTGTACATCCAGCAGCAGTTGAAGGCTCGGCAAAGGCAGCAGCAGAACTTGTAAAGCCCGCGGTTCAAGTACACTCGTACGCAGCCACAGCCTCAGCTGAGGTTCACTTGCGCACGGGAGCAATGCAGCAGCCAGTGAATGGCTCTCTGTCTTCTGCAAAACGCCTCTGAGGCAGCCGCAGTAGATGCTACAGGCCCAAATGCAAAGGACAAAGGGGCAGCAAACCACATTCCAAAAGCAGCACCTCAGGCATGATGTGGCCATGGGCCAAAAGCCCGGTTATCTCCCAGTGAACATCCCAATCCCCACTAAAATAGGTCCTAAGATGGGTGGTGCACCTACCCCAACATGGGATCCCATTGGTTTTGACCCACAGCCACGTGTCCAAGTCAGCGCACTCACCGACTTTTCCACACCCGTCTGGCTGAGCAACGGGCGCTCGGCCGGTGAGCAGCTTGGGCCAGCAGCAAATCACGTCCTCACATCTCGTGATTGGTACGACTGCCCGCGATCCACAGCCCGCCTTCCACGTAACTTTTGCCATGGGCACTTCCGGCCAGGTCAAATGGGCACTTGGCGCTTACAAGAACAGAAGCAAATGGTCCCAGTTCTTTCAACACAATACCCTCAGAAGCAAAGCATACGCTGCATTCCATGGCGGGTTGGGTCGTGCACGGCTAATGCATGCTTGTCCATTCCCTCTGCCCGCATCCTTAACTTGACTTATCATCTCTAAGCCAAGGGGATGAAAGATCAGTCAATTACCAGCTGCAGCAAATCATGCCATCCGCAAGCCACCCGCAAGATTGCTCTTTCGACACCTCACGCGATGCGTAAAGCACCTCGCTTTGCTCATTAAGCCAGGATGAACCTCTTGGAGGTAATCCAACTTCGCTCTATGTTGAGATGCAGTTTGATTCGACCCAAACACAAGTTATGGGGCCCAAAACAATGCAGTGCAAAGTTCTCCAAGAGAGAAACAAACAACAAACACGAACACGGCGACCATGCGTCCATGAAAATTCAAAATGAAACGGGGATCACAAGGCTGACTGGGCTCGAAGAGTTCTGCCTCAGCGTTAGCCCCTGGCCCTCTCCAACTCGCTGTACTGCTATTGGTCGCATAGCGCGAAGCAAAGGGTGGCAAGCGCCTCTGAGTTTGATGCTGATCCTCTCTTCACCTTCGTCAGACTCCTGGAGTATCGAAACTGGGCTAGCTGTTTTGCCACTTGCAACCCTTGCAGCGCCTCATTCTCCTGGGGCCTGTCACTGATGGGATCTGGAAGACCTCTTGACTCGAACTGCGTCAAGATTTCCTTGGGCAAAACGTGGTGCTGTTGCTGCCACATGCGAATCAAGTGCCACGCCATCCTTTTCTCATGACGTCGCAGGAGAGCCTTGGACGTATCAAAGCGGCCAGAACATGGGGCAACAGGCAGCCGTAGACTAAGCTTACCACAGGCTTCCCTCCTGGGCATGTCTCTGGTACAGTGGCACAAGAATCACTCCGTCACCGGGAGGAACAAGTTGAATTCTTGAGGCTCTGGCTGCTGGGTGGAGAAATGGGCTCCGAGTGCTGGCAGGAGGTCGCAAGTCAACCAGTCAACCCTCGACCCAGCTCCCACCTCCAGTTCTGTGTGGACCGTGCGATCACGTGAGCCACAATCGCTATTTATGGTTGGGATTGTCCCTTTTCAACCTTCAGCTACCCGGGTTTGGACCGTGCGATCACGTGCATAGCGCTGAAAAAAGTGGAATTTCACGCGGAAGCCGACGTCTGCATCGGGTCAACACTCGCAGGCATGGCCGCCCGGCCCCGCAGGAAGCCCGCATCGTCGTCCTCCACGAGCTTCGACATGCTCAGCATGGAGTGCGTGGGCGAGGACATAGGCCTGAGCCCGCTAGGCGCGGCCTCTTAGGCTATGCATCTAACACTAGGCCAAAAGCTCATCTGTTGCAACTTCCTGGGAGCCCCCGCGTATCATTCTGCACGCCGAGGTCCTATTGACAGCTCTCTCGCTGATCCCTGCAGTTTCTCACCCCACCTGCCAAGCCTCTGCTTCTGGCACGCTTTGCCTCAGAGCTCACAGATCCACCTGCATCGCTTAAAATGGCGCTCTCCTCTGTTCAGCGTACCAACTTCTCAAATTTCCTCCAAGGAAACGTCATCCATAGGGAGCCACTTCCCTTGGTTGCTGTTGCGCAAAACGTCTAACTTTTTGTGGGTTTCATGGAAAACCCCTTGATTTCAACCAAAAAGTTAAAGTCTAAAGATCCAATAGCAGTAGAGTTCCATACCCCATTCTGTGGACGGACCAAGCCGTTTGCCGCAGCTCCGTGGCTCCTAGCTAATGGCTGGGGACCCCGAGCAGCCCGAAGCTGGAGCCCGTCCGCTTGGAGAGCAGCTGGCGCCGCGGGATGGCTCAACCCTTGTGGCTCATAAAACGAAGCAGGGCCCAAGTTGTCGGTCCAGGGATCCGGATGCATTATACACCTGAACAGTGCCTTGTACATGGTGGCATGGTGGTTTCCCTTTATTTTGGTGTTGAAAAAGCAACATGTTTCAAATGGTTGCAAAATGGAGATCTTTTAAGGAGCCCTGTCCATGTTTCCACTTACTGGGGGCAACCCATGTTGGAACTCTGGCTGCTTTTGAGCCACAGCCACTTGGCCCAAGTCGAAAGCCTATGGGAAGCTTGCTCGCAACTCCTTACCTGGCACCTCACTCTCTCTTTGCTTTGTAACCTCTGCTGGCACTTCGCTATCCCCACCTCCTTTATGTTCAGCCCAAAAACCTGGCCCCATCTGAAATGGTCAAAAAAGGAGAAGCCCAAAATGGTGGGTGTCATTTAGTCTGCCTCTAAAACAACTATTATACATGTGTGTATATATATACATATATATATATACATATATCCGCCGACCCCTTCTCCTCAAAGGGGGGAGGCGCACGGGAAGGGTGGTTACAGCACAAGTCCAAGGTTGGTTGGTAAATGAGAATAGCCGAAGATTCAACATTATCAGCGTAAGCAATACCGTCATCGTAGCAGAGGGTGCGTAGCCATGATGATCATCATGACTGTTGGTGATGCAGAAGATGCACGATGATGGTTATCGTCCATGATGACGATGACGATGACGATGATGATGCTGATGATGACCACAATCATGGTGATGATGACATGCTCATCGTCATCACATCATCATCGTTGTGACCTGATTGGAGATGTAGAGGATGCGTAGACATGATTATCATCATGACTGCTGGTGATGCAGAGGATGCACGATGATGGTTATCATCCATGATGATGACGATGATGATGACGATGATGACGATGATGACGATGACGATGATGATGCTGGTGATGACGATAATGACCACCAACATGGTGATGATGACATGCTCATCATCATCATCACATCATCATCGTTTTGACCTGATTGGAGATGCAGAGGATGCGTAGACATGATTATCATCATGACTGTTGGTGATGCAGAGGATGCACGATGATGGTTATCATCGATGATGGTAACGGTGATAATGACGGTGACGATGACGAGGATGATGCTGATGATGATGACGATGATGATGATGATGATGGTGACACGCTTGTCAGTATATCACATCATAATATCTTGTGTGTATAGGTTTCAAGGGTAGCGTTAGACCCGATTGGAGATGCAGAGGGTGCGTAGTCATGATTATCATCATGACTGCTGGTGATGCAGAGGATGCACGATGATAGTTATCATCCATGGTGGTGACGGTGATGATGACGATGATGATGATGATGCTGATGACGACGATGATAATGATGATGATAATGACCACCATCATGGAGATGATGACATGCTCATCATCATCACATCATCATCTCTGTGACCTGATTGGAGATGCAGAGGATGCGTAGACATGATGTTGTCGTCCTTATCTTTTTTACAAACGTTTCAAGGGTAGCGTTAGAGCCGATTGGAGATGCAGAGGGTGCGTAGTCATGATTATCATCATAACTTTCGGTGATGCAGAAGATGCACGATGATGGTTATCGTCCATGATGACAACGGTGATGATGACGATGACGATGATGATGATGATGCTGCTGCTGATGACGATGATGATAATGATGATTAATAACCACCATCATGGTGATGATGACATGCTCATCATCATCACATCATCATCGTTGTGACCTGATTGGAGATGTAGAGGGTGCGTAGAGATGATTATCATCATAACTGTTGGTGATGCAGAAGATGCACGATGATGGTTATCGTCCATGATGACAACGGTGATGATGACGATGACGATGATGATGATGATGATGCTGCTGGTGATGACGATGATGATGGTGATGATGACGATGATGACCACAATCATGGTGATGATGACATGCTCATCGTCATCACATCATCATCGTTGTGACCTGATTGGAGATGTATAGGATGCGTAGACATGATTATCATCATGACTGCTGGTGATGCAGAGGATGCACGATGATGGTTATCATCCATGATGATGATGATGATGACGATGATGATGACGATGATGAATATGACGATGATGAGGATGATGACGATAATGACCACCATCATGGTGATGATCACATGCTCATCATCATCACATCATCATCGTTGCGACCTGATTGGAGATGTAGAGGATGCGTAGACATGATTATCATCATGACTGCTGGTGATGCAGAGGATGCACGATGATGGGTATCATCGATGATGACGAGGATGATGATGACACGCTTGTCATTGTATCACATCATAATCGTTGTCGTCCAAATCTTTTTTACGTTTCAAGGGTAGCGTTAGACCCGATTGGAGATGCAGAGGGTGCGTAGTGATGATTGTCGTCATGACTGTTGGTGATGCAGAGGATGCACGATGATGGTTATCGTCCATGGTGACAACGGTGATGATGACGATGATGACGATGATGACGATTATGATGATGATGCTGATGAAGACGATGATGACCAGCATCATGGTGATGATGACACGCTCATCATCATCACAGCATCATCGTTGTGACCTGATTGGAGATGCAGAGGATGCGTAGATCATGATGTTGTCGCCTTATCTTTTTGATATACGTTTCAAGGGTGGCGTTAGAGCCGATTGGAGATGCAGAGGGTGCGTAGTCATGATTCTCATCATGACTGTTGGTGATGCAGAGGATGCACGATGATGGTTATCGTCCAATATCATGATTGTTGGTGATGCAGAAGATGCAAGATGATGGTTATCGTCCATGGTGACAACGGTGATGATGACGATGACGATGATGATGACGATGCTGATGACGATGCTGATGAAGACGATGATGACCACCATCATGGTGATGATGACATGCTCAATCAGCGTCGTCACCATCATGGATGATAACCATCATCGCGCATGCTCTGCATCACCAGCAGTCATGATGATAATCATGTCTACGCATCCTCTGCATCTCCAATCAGGTCACAACGATGATGCTGTGATGATGATGGCATGTCATCATCACCATGATGGTGGTCATTATCGTCATCGTCATCATCATTGTCATCATCGTCATCATCATGGATGATAACCATCATCGTGCATCCTCTGCATCATCATCGGCACCATCATCATCGTCATCGTCAAACGTATATAAAAAGATAAGGACGACAACATCATGTCTACGCATCCTCTGCATCTCCAATCAGGTCACAACGATGATGATGTGATGATGATGAGCGTGTCATCATTACCATGATGGTGGTCATCATCGGCATCATCATCAGCATCATCATCATCATCGTCATCGTCATCATCACCGTTGTCAGCATGGACGATAACCATCATCGTGCATCTTCTGCATCACCAACAGTCATGATGATAATCATGACTACGCACCCTCTGCATCTCCAATCGGCTCTAACGTCACCCTTGAAACGTACATAGAAAAGATAAGGACGAACATCATGTCTACGCATCCTCTGCCGTTATCATCATCGATGATAACCATCATCGTGCATCCTTTGCATCACCAGCAGTCATGATGATAATCATGTCTACGCATCCTCTGCATCTCCAATCAGGTCACAACGATGATGCTGTGATGATGATGAGCATGTCATCATCACCATGATGGTGGTCATCATCATCATCATCAGCATCACCCTCGTCATCGTCATCATCATCACCGTTGTCATCATGGACAATAACCATCATCGTGCATCCTCTGCATCCCAACAGTCATGACCCTCTGCATCTCGAATTTGATAACCATCATCGTGCATCCTCTGCATCACCAGCAGTCATGATGATAATCATGTCTACGCATCCCATACATCTCCAACCAGGTCACAACGATGATGATGTGATGACGATGAGTATGTCATCATCACCATGATGGTGGTCATCATCGTCATCACCATCATCGTCATCATCAGCATCATCATCATCATCATCGTCATCGTCATCATCACCGTTGTCATCATGGACGATGACCATCGTGCATCCTCTGCATCCCGTTCAACAGTCATGATGAGAACCATGACTACGCACCCTCTGCATCTCCAATCGGCTCTCACGCTACCCTTGAAACGTTTATAAAAAAGATAAGGACGACAACATCATGTCTACGCATCCTCTGCATCTCCAATCAGGTCACAAGATGCAGAAGATGCGTGGACATGATTATCATGATGCCTGCTGGTGATGCTGAGGATGCGTCATGATGATTATCATGTCAGCTCAGCATCATCATCATCATCATCATCATCAAAGCAGAAAACTGGTTGGCTTGCGTGGTGACCGGCGATGAGCCTCTACTGCAAACGCAACGATTATTACAAAAATGCACCAAGCCAAGGAAAGAAGCGATCGCTCCAGAATGGGCGCAGGTTCTATGGAAGCGTGCCAATCAAAGCGCATTATCACGATGACTGCTGGTGATGCTGAGGATGCGTCATGATGATTATCATGTCAGTTCATCATCATCATCATCATCATCATCATCATCATCATCATCATCATCATCATCATCATCATAAAAGCGGTGCATTTTCACGCGAAAGCAAAGCAAAAATGCACCGCACCCTGGCTACAAGAGGGGACCCATCGCGGCCCCATTTTGAAGCGGTTCATTTCAGCCATTCCCAAACTGGTTTGGGGTCGGCGGCACTGGGCGGCAGCCCTTAAATCCGGCCACCGGGGGGCTTCAGACCCCGTGGTCCGTGATACGGCCGAAGGCCTAGGCCCGCAGGGCCTACCTTCAGGTATAGGGCCGGCCGCCCTGTGCCGCGGACCACTGCCGACCATGCGCTATACTTTTGCGCTGCGCCAAGCTGGGCCCACCCTTATAAGGGGCGAAGGATTTGCGGATTTGTTCAAGCGATTTTTGGCGGCTTTTTGAGCATCTCCCCGCGGAGTCAAAAAACGAGTGTTTTTTGGGTGGTGCCCATAGTGGACAACATCCCCGGCATCACCTGCATCATCCGCATCCTTGGCGGACATTGATGCGGATGATGCCGGTGATGCGGGGGATGCTGGGGATGTTGTCCCCGAAGTCGGGCCAACTTTGCCGAAAACGTGCAACCTGAAAATCTTAAAATCTTAAAGTGGATGAAATGGCCTGGATTGAAATCTCAAAATCCTAAAGTCTTAGATTCTGAAAATCTAACAATCAATCTTAGAATCTCGAGATCTTAAAATCTTCGAACTCAGAATCTTAAAATCTGAAAATATAAAAACATCCTAAAGTCTCGGGGGATGCTGGGGATGTTGTCCCCTAAGTCGGGCCAACTTTGCCGAAAACGTGCAACCTGAAAATCTTAAAATCTTAAAGTGGATGGAAAATGGCCTGGATTGAAATCTCAAAATTCTAAAGCTTAAAATCTGAAAATATAAAAACATCCTAAAGTCTCGCGGGATGCTGGGGATGTTGTCCCCTAAGTCGGGCCAACTTTGCCGAAAACGTGCAACCTGAAAATCTTAAAATCTTAAAGTGGATGAAAAATGGATGGAAAATGGCCTGGATTGAAATCTCAAAATCCTAAAGTCTTAGATTCTTAAAATCTTAAATTAAAATCTAACAATCAATCTTAGAATCTCGAGATCTTAAAATCTTCGAAAATAGAATCTTAAAATCTGAAAATATAAAAACATCCTAAAGTCTTCGAATCTTGAAATCTTAAAACCCTTATGTCTTAGAATCTTGCGATCTTAAACTCTAAAAAAAAATAATATGAAATTCCTACAGTCTTAAACTCTTACTCTTGAAACTTGGAAATCTTGAAACCTCAAGATCTTAAACTTACAACCCTAGAAGATCGAATCTTACAATCAAAAAAATTAAACATCCTAAAGTGAAAATATAGACATCGTAAAGTCTTCGAATCTTGACTTCTTAAAACCCTCATGTCTTTGAATCTTCAGATGTTCAAATCTTAAAATATGAATAAAATTCCTTCAATCCGGGCTATATGTTAAATTCCTTAAACTCTTAATCTTGAAATTTTGAAGTCTTGACATCTTAAAAACTTAAATTACGAAAGTCGCCAAATCTGAAACTCTCACAAAAATAAAATCTTAAAGCCTTCGAAATCTGATACTGGATGGAAAATGGCTGGGCAATGGCCTGGCTGTTATAACCTTCAAAAACCTTAAATCTTGAATCTTAAAACCTGAATTCTTAAACCATTGAAACCTTAAATTCCGAAAGTCTTCAAATCTGAGACCCTTAGAATCTCAAAGTTTTTAGAATTTTAAAATCTTAACATCTACTAATCGGACTTACAGGAAAGGGAAGTGACAGAACGGGCAGGGCAAGGTGCCCGGTGGCCGGCTGTGTCGCGTCAGCGTGTAATCCGGCCACCGGGGGGCTTCAGACGCCGTGGTCCGTGATACGGCCGAAGGCCAAGGCCCGGAGGGCCTACCTTCAGGTACAGGGCCGGCCGCCCTGTGCCGCCGACCACCGCCGACCATGCGCTATACTTTTGCGCTGCGCCAAGCTGGGCCCACCCTTATAAGGGGCGAAGGATTTGCGGATTTGTTCAGGCGATTTTTGGCGGCTTTTTGAGCATCTCCCCGCAGAATCAAAAAACGAGTGTTTTTTGGGGGGTGCGCATAGTGGACAACATCCCCGGCATCACCTGCATCATCCGCATCCTTGGCGGACATTGATGCGGATGATGCCAGTGATGCGGGGGATGCTGGGGATGTTGTCCCCGAAGTCGGGCCAACTTTGCCGAAAACGTGCAACCTGAAAATCTTAAAATCTTAAAGTGGATGGAAAATGGATGGAAAATGGCCTGGATTGAAATCTCAAAATCCTAAAGTCTTAGATTCTTAAAATCTTAAATTAAAATCTGAAAATATAAAATCATCCTAAAGTCTCGGGGGATGCTGGGGATGTTGTCCCCTAAGTCGGGCCAACTTTGCCGAACACGTGCAACCTGAAAATCTTAAAATCTTAAAGTGGATGGAAAATGGATGGAAAATGGCCTGGATTGAAATCTCAAAATCCTAAAGTCTTAGATTCTTAAAATCTTAAATTAAAATCTAGGAATCCATCTTAGAATCTCGAGATCTTAAAATCTTCGAACTTAGAATCTTAAAATCTGAAAATATAAAAACATCCTAAAGTCTTCGAATCTTGAAATCTTGAAACCCTTATGTCTTAGAATCTTGCGATCTTAAACTCTTAACAATATGAAATTCCTACAGTCTTAAACTCTTACTCTTGAAATTTGGAAATCTTGAAACCTCAAGATCTTAAACTTACAACCTTAGAAGATCGAATCTTACAATCTGAAAATATAAACATCCTAAAGTCTTCGAATCTTGACTTCTTAAAACCCGAATATCTTTGAATCTTCAGATGTTAAAATCTAAAAATATGAACTTCCTAAATTCTCAAAGTCTTAAAATCTCAGAATCTGAAAAGCTTTCAAAACTTAAATTCTTTAAATCTCGAACTGTTGCAATCTGAAAATCTTAACTTCATAAACAAGTAAAATATAATAAAATTCCTTCAATCCGGGCTATATTTTAAATTCCTTAAACTCTTAATCTTGAAACTTTGAAGCCTTGAAATCTTGAGATCTTAAAATCTTAAATTACGAAAGTCACCAAATCTGAAAATCTCCGAAAAATAAAATCTTAAAGCCTTCGAAATCTGATAATAGATGGAAAATGGCTGGGCAATGGCCTGGCTGTTATAACCTTCAAAAACTTTAAATCATTGAATCTTCAAACCTTAATTCTTAAACCATTGAAACCTTAAATTCCGACAGTCTTCAAATCTGAGACCCTTAGAATCTCAAAGTTTTTAGAATCTGAAAATCTTAACATCTACTAATCGGACTTACAGGAAAGGGAAGTGACAGAACGAGCAGGGCAAGGTGCCCGGTGGCCGGCTGTGTCGCGTCAGCGTGTAAATATATACATATATATATATATATATTACACATGTATAATATGTATTCCACAAAGGGCAAATCAACCTGTCGTTGAGCGTCCGCGCAACTCTCGCACTTTGGCCCTGCCTTGGGCTGGGCCGGGTGGCGCTCAGGCCGACCCAGCAGTTCCAGCACCTTAGCATGGCCGCCCTTCCTTGCAAAGGCGTTGACCCTAAAGGACCCCGGAAGAGCCATCCGGCAGAAATTGTGTCATCTCCAAATCTCTAATTTGCAGCTCAGCCAATGGACGTGCTTGTGCTCAAGGTGAAACTCCTGACGAGTTCTCCGCGCCATACACTGCTCTCTGGAGCTAAACCCTGGAAGATGCTTCCCGGCCTTACCCAGAGTCTTCGCAGCATCCGCCACCCGGCCGTTCACTTCCGGCCTTGGCGCGGCCACTTAGAGGTGCCTGACCCTTACACCTCACTGGGGCGTCTGCTCTGGCTCACCGATTTCTGTAGAGTTTAGGAAGTCTTCTTCGGCAGGGCGCTCCCTGCCGGCCTAAGCAAAACGGAGAAGCGAACCAGGTGCTGAAATCCTGAGTTGTCCCCACCTCCAGCATCTTTGGGCCGAAAGTGTTCAGCATGAACATGCCGAAGATCGACATACCTGGCAGGTTGACGTGTTGCATCTGAATTCTTATCACTCTAATCACTCTCCTAGTGTATCGGGCGTCCCATCGGCCCATTCTGGGCCCCGCGCAAAAGATATAGAGCCGCGCCGCCGTGAAGATGAACTCCCGCGCCTGCGTTCCCGAGGCTCCGCTTGGCAGAGCTCAGGAAGGGCTAGAAATGTGGCAATTCCAAGCTGGCCAAAGACAGTGCGGTTCATATGCGGTTCATGTGCGCTTGAAACTGGTAACAGCTGTGCACATGGGTCCCCCCCGCCTCACTCCGATCTTCCTGCTCTGCCACGTCCTGCCCGGGCCCCAATTGACACTGACCGAAGCCCAATCGAAACTCGAAACGCCTGGAAGAAGCGCTGGTTCACCGGCACAGCCCCAAGAGCCCCTTGGATCGTCGCCTCGAAAAAAGCCAAGCAGCTGCGCAAACAAAGGCACTTTCCGCGCTGAGAGGCACACCCGCGGCAGACAGGCCAGGAAGCAAAAGAAGGCATCGGCCAGCAACCCGCACATTCCTGGAGAACAGGCCCGAGTGAGCCAGGGAGCCTTCTTTGCAAGCAGTGCCGCGTGAGTGCTCCGATGCGCTCAGTTGCTGGCCTTGCTGAGAGACACCGCGGTCATTCCGAGTGCCAATGACCTGCTGTTAATGCCACCCAGCAGGCATCAATCCGAATGCCAATGCTTGTCACAACGGACTTGCAACTAAGGCCAAGACTCCAGCAAGAACGCCGATGAAGCGGGCCAAAAGCCCCACTCCCTCAGCGGCTTCTGATGGATTTGCTCGGTCGCTTGTGAGGGCTATACAGCCCACGGACACCCAAGACTCAGAAAAACTGAGCGTCCAAATGAACGCGCTCAGCTTCCAGCCATGATCGGAAGCACCGTGACAAGGTTTGGGAAGACGGATGCACCTAGATATGGAAGACAGAGAGAGAGAGAGAGAGAGAGAGAGAGAGAGAGAGAGAGAGAGAGAGAGAGAGAGAGAGAGAGAGAGAGAGAGAGAGAGAGGGAGAGAGAGAGAGAGAGAGATAATAAAAAACAAACGGCTGAAGGCTCATGCATTGCAAGAAAACAGGAGAAGCCACAAAGACTCCTCTTCCAAGATGCCAGCTGGTCTTGCTACCGAGCATGGAGAAAAGTACAAGCCTTGGGGCAACCCGCGGCCCGCAATCTTTCAGACTGGACCCGGAGCAACTGGTGACCCACCGCAACTGCCTGGTGTCATTGTCCCCCCCCCCCCGCCCACCCCCGCTTGAAAAGTATCGCTTTAAATGTGTCTTTTCAGGGGCTTCTCTTTTGGACACGCCCATTCAACGCGAATGTGAACTGAGACAAAAATGGGCGCGCGGCTGGCCAAACACCCACACGCCCCCCATGATGACTTCAACCTCCGCGCGAAAAGGATGCATCAGCCGAAATGTGCTTTGCTTCTCAGAACAACCCGCTTCTCACAAAACCATTCATCCACAAATCATCTTCCGCCTTCCGCCTTGCCCTTGCTGCTCAAACGCTCTACGACTCTCCTCCAGCAGGAGGTCCGCGCAGTGCTCGTCGCAGTAGTCCGCAAAGGTGGAGCCAGTGACCTCGGGTTGGGCTTCCCCTGCCCCGGAGAAACAGCTGGCCATGTACACGCCCTGCTTGTGGCCAAGCTTTCGCTAGTTTTTCAATGAGGAACGCCTCAAAATGTGTGTTCTCTGCTTTTGTGTCCCTCAAAAAAGAGGAAGGCTCTCTGCCGAGAGCCATGCACGCCCGTCAAATAGGCGTCCTTTTTTAGGGGACCTCCCACCAACCAAAAAAGAATGGATTTCCGTGGGTTTGTTTTACAGACCGTCAAAAGAAAGGGGGGCACGCTCCAAAAGCAGACAGACCCATGCACTGACCCGAGGCGAAACCTGTCCGGGGCCACCGCAATCACCATGAGCTCCGCCTGGAAGAGAGGGCCCAGGCCTGACGCACGCGGGCCGAAACCCGAGAAGAACGACCCACCAGTTGAACCACCTGTTGAGGTGAGGAAAACTAAACAAGAATGAAGAGCAAAGAGCAAAAGATGCAGATTGCGGGGACCATGCCCAAAAACATCCATTTGATTACTGAACTCTGATGGTGTCATTCTTATTCTCGACATATCCTTCAGTCCTCTTTGGCAGAATTGGATTTGCTCACTTGCACCTGTCCCCCCCACAAATGCCGAGCACCGCACCAAACATGGAGATCCTCAGAAGCAAAACAGTGCAAGCCATCCCTCAAACTCAAAGGGCCGGGCGGGTTTCCCCTTGATGGGCTGCCCAGGCCGTAGGCACACAAAGCCACCGACTCGGCCATCCAAAGCTTCGCGGAAAGTGCGCAATCTGTGTTGGGCGTGTCCTAAAGAGAGAGGGGGATATTTTTTGTTTTGTTTTGGGAAAGTCCGCCATGTGTGGGCGAACCACTCTGACTGAGCTCCATGCCAGAAGCATCAGAAATGCTTCCACCTCACACAAGCTTCCCGCAGCCACGCCTAATGTCCTCCTTGCTGCAGGTTGTCTCAGACCCGGGCCGGCTGATTTAGAAACACGGGCTGACCAAAAAGCTTCACCTACACGGGCTCAATCCACCGAAGCAAGGGCTGCCTGAAGCCTGACAGCCGCCTCCTTGCGGTGGTGGATGAGGTAGCCCGCAGCCTTCCCCAGGAACGCCTCAAATGAGGGATCAATCCTGTACCCGCGTGATACCCGGAATAGCAACCAATGCACAAGGCTTCCTTCACAACCGCGCAAGCATCCTACAGCCTTGTGATGGAGATTGAGCCTTTTCGGCCACGCTTCCACGGGCCCAAGCTCCCCACGCCGACGACGACCGTCGCCGCTATTCGCATGCAAGTCAAGAAAATGAGCACAAGTATGTTCAGGTCCGGCCTAAGAAACACTGCCACTCCGGCACCAGCGACATGGCAGTCACAAACCCCAGGGGCACGGCATGCTCGCGGGAGCGGAGACTGCCGTGAACACCTCGCGGCTTCGATGCGGAAAGGCGATCTACAGCCAGGCCTGCCGTTTGCTTTCCGAGCCCCCTCCCGGCTCTGAGGCGGGCACGCCGAAGAGCGTGAGCGCGAAGCTTGCCTGGCACAGCGCCCGCTTCAAGCGGATAACGAACAGATCTGTCAGGGAGCACCTCCAAGGGTGCCCAGCAGAGCATGAGGTACGGCCTGGCAGTCTTGCGATTCAGGCATTTGACCTGGAAAGGAAGCCAACATCACCACTTGTTTTGATGTCCACAATGTTCCTTTCCAGCCACGGCTCTACCTCCAAGCGCCCCACATGGGGTGCTGCGGAAAGCGACAGCTGAACCTCAAAGCTCGGCAATCGACGTCTCGGCTTTGCGGCTTTGCCCCCCTTGCTTCTCAAGTCGAGCTTTCATCTGGGCTGCGAGCTCTTTCATCTTTGGAATCACCAGGCCATCGCCAATGCCCACCAGCACCGTCCCCAGGTTCTGAGACGCAAACGAGCCCAGGCAGGCGGAAGAGCTGGAATCCATGGAGATTTAAACGCCGTTGACGGCAGGCCACCTGGAAAACAACTCTTCATCACGGTTTACGGCGGAAAACCCTGCAACAAACAGAGAGCATCCAGACACAAAGCTCATTGACACCAAAATGCGCGGCTAACAAGCCGATCGGTCAAATCAAACAGTAGTACTAAGCATGCATCAAGTTGAACCTGTTTATATCGATCAGTCGCGCCACAATGACAACTACCTTGATCTATTGATCAGGGGAAGAAAGTGATTGCCCAAGGTTGAGTCATTCAAGCGACAAATCGTCATGGCCATTTTTGGCGCTTCCGGGCAAAGCTGTCCAGAAAAGCCAGTGAAGAACTCGGAACATGCATAGTCTTTGAGCCACGCCGGTCAAAGCCTCGAACATACGTCGTAACCGATTGCTTCGTGAGGAACATGCAACTTGGACTGATGAAATGAGGTCGATCTCTATGTGACGCAGAAAGATTCAGCTTGTTAACATCAGCCTCAACACCAGAAACGCACCGATTCGCAACCGCATGCCCAACGAGCAAACTGATCCCTGGGTCTGCTACCTGTCATTGAAACACCCAGCCCTTCCGTCCCTAAAAAGCTAGGCGCAGCACGAGTCCCTCCGCCAGGGTGAAGCCCAAGTGCCAGGACTGAGTCCAGCTCCAACTTGAATTAGCAATGAAACGAGTCCGGAAAAGAAACATGGACTGCCCGTTGCGCCATTTGTCTGTGTCCGGTTAACACACCAGAATCAACTTCAGTGTTTGCTCCCACGCCAAAATCCCCCCGAAAAAGTCGGCGAAAAGACACAGATCAGTCCAAGAGGCCGCAAAGGCCGCGATCGCCAGCAGCTCCAGCGTCGCAGGCAGCCACGCCAAGACCTCGAGTCGCACAAAATTCACAACAAAAACCATGCCCAGGGGCAAAAAGGGCACTTCGTGGTGTTGGTAGTTGACTTTGTACGGCTGTGGGTCAACAATAGGATAACCCCAAAATGGAACACTGGTACATGGAAGCAAAAACTAAAGACTAAAACCTGCGGTCCTCTGGTGGTTCATTTTTGACCCATGCCCAAATGATCCTTTTCGGGGGGGTTCGGTACCCCCAAATTCTCCAATCAGTTTTGGGTGTGGCTCACATGGAGCGATCTCCAGAACGCTCGGTGGCCGCCCCTAAAGCCATGAAAAGCCTGCTGCATGATCATACAGTAGGATCCTTATGGTTTGCTGCATGTTGCAATTGCGCCTTGCAGAACGGAGCCTGAGAGTCCCACGAAGAGATGGGTTTTGAGGCTCGAGATGGAAATCCTTGGATCACGCAAAAAGAATGATAAGTACATTGTCATGCCCGGCTAAGGCCGAAACCCCAACCCAGCAGTCAGCAACACCTCATGCCACAGGCAACAACCTCTCACCACCTTCCCCCTGCCGCAAGCACAGGTCGGCACAAGGAAAAACGCCAACTCTTGCAGCATGTCCCTGCCGTAGAAGATGTCATCCTGTTGACGCACACATCACATGCCTCTGCTCTCTGCGCCCTTCCCGCAACTGGCGGTGTCTGTGGACTTCTAACATGTCCTTCACACCTGGTGATGAGAACCTCTACTTGGGGCAAAACATGTGGATACTCGCGTGAAAACTCAACAGCACCTGGCTAGAGCTTGAATCAAGCAGCCCAGAGAACAAATTGAAAAGGCCTGAATGAAGTAGCTGAAGCTCCATCCGGTGAGTATGACACCAACCTGGCAGCAGTCTGTCATTCAATCCATTTGGCAAAATGACCGCACGATGTCCGCAAATCAAGCATAGTGCTACTGCTTAGGTTAGCACTGAAGCCGGCAGATTCAGGCTGACGAAAAGCGTCCTTGCCTTCATTGCTTGCAAATTGGAAATTGTGTGGAAAGTGCCAAGCGTAGTCACAGGCCACGTATAAGCCCCTTGCCAAATACCCGACCTGAAGAATGCCGACTGCAATACGCTGTGTGCAACTCGCCCCTCGTCCGATCAAAACTGAACAGCTGTCCAAGCACTGCACAAGCAACAAATAAGCGAGGCCCAGTTGGAGCGGGTACACTTTTGGCAGCTGCGCAGACTCCTGGGCTCCAACATTGCAAAGTGTTGCAAACAACGCATTGCGTGGCATCCAAGGGAAGCACCACATGAAGCGGAGACGTTGGTGCCGATGCGTTCATGGTTCTACATTTTCATTGATGCAAATCTGTCCACATGACATGATTTGTTCCATCGTTCACAACCCCATATTTACCATGCAAGGCGCCGTCGTTTCCATTGTCATGCTTAACAAATTGGAATATCCTGGAACCAATGCTCAAGCGCAAACACATGATGTGTGGCGGTCTGGCGTTTTGATGCGCCTATCGTGTACGTTTGGGCCACTGGAACAAACGCACATCATGCCCACCAAAGCGACAAAACACATCAAGATTAAAACAGCCAAACTTTAGACATCATTTGTTTCGCATCCGGTTGGCACCACATTGCGCATCTCCTTCCCGCATCACGCAAAATAATCAAACAGTTTGTTCCCACGAAAAAGTCCCGAGCCCCAGGTGTACTATGATCCATCGTGCTTGTTATGTGCGGTTCGTCGCAACAAACGACTACAAGAATCAGCATGTCACGTCCCGCACCAAAACAAACATTGCTTGCCCGAATCTACGATCACACTTTGTCAGCAAGTTGGGAAAATATTGAAGCGTCCACAATCTGGAAAACCTATTAGGAATTTGAGCCAAACAAACCTGCGCAACCCAGTTCACAGAACAAGTATCCAAGCTCGCCAAAGTTCCCGAAACACGTCGGCTAATATATTGCACGTAACAACCAGTACCAGTTCCGTACACAGATGCAAGTCCGACTCACCAATATTTTTCTCTTAGCGCAAAATAGGGGAAGTTGAGCCCCCTGTTTTCCGAATAAATGCTCAAAAGCGTCAGCCAAAGCCGGGTCAGGTGGCAAAGCGTTGCCCACCCGCGACCGGCCCCAGGCTCAATCGATCATCAACGACTGTTGGCGCTGGTGGCACCTTTCTGTTGCTGAGCCAACCGGTGCTTGCTGCGGCTATCTGAGCTGTTTACTTGTTCAGTCTTTTGTTGCGCACACTGGGCACCTATTGGCAGGCACTGCAGGCGCCCTCTTCTAGGTTACCGGGCGCCCACGCTGCCATTTTGCCGGCGTTCTCGGACGCGACTATACGAGCCAATGCGCAGTTAGCTTGTCAGCAACCATTTTCCATGGACAGCTCAGCAGCTCTAAACTCTTTCTGCAACGGGCCTCCAGCAACCATTCCGTTAGAATCTTGATCACTGCTTCAATCCGAAAGGGAACATGCAGCAGAAGATAAAAGAGTACGACCGACAAACCTGCGCGCATGTGTTTTTTATTTAATCCCTGGGCCCCTACCCACAAACATGTTGAGCCAAAGTCTTTATCGCCCGAGGAACCTCGGAAACACTCGGGTAAATCGAAAAAGGGTTTGACCACCTGAGCCAAACACCCCGCAGGGGCAAAGCACCAAACACGGAGGACCAGCACAAGAGCACGCGATGGCCAACGCGGGAGAACCACCACCTGAGGAACAGAGGAAGCAAAGCAAATACCACCTCACAGGTGAGGCGCAATGGGGCGAAGCCCTTAAGGCAGCTTGTCATGCGCAACACAGCTTCAAGCTGGAACTCTTTTCTCCAAGACAAAGGGGGGCAAATCCGAACCCGCTGCGACCCCCCATCTTCAATGTGAGGGCCTCTGCAGTCGCCACTCAGGCGCCCCCCAGTCGACTCGGATCCTTGAGCATCCTTCGGCAACTAGTCCTTCGGTCTCTTCACTCGAAGGATCATCAGCTATGTTTGAAGCTGTGGGCACTCTTCCAAACCAGGGCCTAAGGCCGAGGTCCTCTTCAAGCACACAAAACGATTTAATCCAGTCATCAGAAAATTCTGTAGCCCCCGTGCCCCTGATGAATCCGCTCCGCGCAGCCTCGTTGTCCAAATAAAAAACAACCGCCGACCCAGCCAACTGTTAGATCTCAAGCTCATAAATAGGGTTGGCCGAGGACTGCTGAAGCTCGCTCATCATCCCTGCGGGGACTCTCTCAGAAAAGAAAGAAACCTTCGAACCGTGTTGGTCCAAAAGAACCCCACCGATGCTGCCACGTTTGTCAGCCATGTCCCCTTCGCAAGCACCATCCGTGAATACCAGCCAGGTGCAGAAAACCGCCCCCGTCACCTCCACTGGCCGGCCTGACCGCACCCTATCCAAGATCACAGACAGCGCATCTTTCAGTTTCCCTTGAACTCGACAACGTCCGCGGGAATCACTGCAAGCGCGGCCCAACTCTCTGACAGCCATATTTGCCGAGCGTCCCCAAACGAAACTCTCAAACCAAATGAGCCTCCCCCGCAAACGTTCAGCTTCTTTGCGACTCAGCTCTCCAGACTCAATCACAGCATGGAGGGCTTCGGCCAGTTCAGTGCGCCTTTCTTCCGTGTGCCCCACGAGCGCCACCTCTTTCAGAATGCCCAGCAGGTTGACGAGAAGGCCCAAAGTCCTGAAACAACCATCAAACTGCATTGCTTTGTGGCCCTCCCTTGCGAAACGAACGCCCCATAGGTCCAGCAAACATTCCATGGAATAAGCAGCACTCATCTGCAAACCATCCCTGGAGAGGACCGTGAAGTCGTCAAAGAACCCTGTGAGACAGATCCGCAGCCCTGCCATGGCCGCGAAAACGATAGCTGCAGACACCCTCAAAAAGCCTCCAACAGACCCCACCGCCCCAAAGGGCAGCGCGTCTACTTTGAAGAAGCGAACCCTACCTCCTTGCTGCGCACAGCTAGGCGGGCCAGCTCCCTGTCCTGTTCCGCAACCCGGTACTGTTTGTAGGCGCTTGAAAGGTCGTACGTGCGGCCGACCAGAACCGGATGGCACGCTTTGGTCTGGACGTTCAGCGAGAAGCTGACCAAGGCTGCCATCGAGTCCACCGCTTGAACTCGTAACCGCTCACTCATGCCACAGCAATCATTTAGTCCTCCAATGGTGAAATCGTCGATGAGCCGATGCTTTGCGCCCTGTCGGATACAGAAACGCTTTGCCAGGAGCCCTTTCCAGGTCGGGCTTGGGGTCCTCCAAAATCCACCCTTTCTCAACTTCGAGCATGGTCTCGCCCCACATCACATCGTCCAGCTCCGTCCATTCATCAGCTTTCAACTTAGCCAGAATCTGGCTGTTTGTGCCTTTAGCCAGACGCAGCTGCAACTCAACTGTGGACCCCGGCCGCTTGACTCTGCTGTCAAAGACTCCGGTCTTCGGCAACCAGCCCGTCAGATTAAAACCTGACTGCACATGCTCTGCCAAGCATGTGTCACTGTACCCCAGCGCCGCAAGCATCTCTTTCATAAGCAAAACACACTTACCTGCGAGCACTGGTTTTGCATGTCCAGGCAGGGAAGCATGCAACTCTTCCTCCTTTGCAGCTAGCTACTGTCGCCGACTCAACCAACGCTTAATGAAATTCAGACGTTTGCCAATGATCTCCAGAGCCGGAAGGTCGCGACTCTCCATAACCACACGCCTGGAAAGTTCATCCAGATGCATTGCAACTCCACGGGGATGTCCTGCTGCCAAGGCTTCCTGAACAAAGACCTCAGGTTTTCGGGGTACTCCCAGCACCACCTTCTCCACCACACAGGAATCCAGAACCTCAGGCTCTTTGCTCAACAAGCATACCCAGCGCACTTTGGCGCCCTTGGAACAAGTCAGGGCAAATTTCCGTAGTTGCTCATCACACTGCGCTGGGGCGATAACTGTTAGGTATTGCCCAAATTCAGACACCAAGGGGCGGACCCTGTTGCCCCTGGGCAGCGCACCCAGCAGAATTCGGTTGATGGCCCCTGGCTCAACGCTAGTGGCCTGTTGCGAAATGCCTTCTGGAAGTTGCGCGCCCTTCGCCACGACATAAGGACATTCTCGCGCACAATACATCAGGATACGCTGCCTCATCTGAGGTTGCGAAGTGCAATTTGCTGGAAGCAAAAGACGCCGTCCATGGTTTGTGAACGTGGCACTTGTCGCATCGAGCCTCCAAGCACGCAAATAAGGAGTGATTGCACCAAAACATGGTCCCTTTGTCTCTGTCGCCTCCGTGGCAGCAGTTCTGAAATCGAACTTCTACAAGCTTGGTTTTGGGCTGCAGCTTGTTCTGCAATCGGCCCATGGCAGTTGTGGACCAAAAATAACTGCCCCACGGATTCTCAATGCTCCAAAGGATGCCACGCGAATCACACAGAACGGCCAACTCCTCAACTGCTTCATAAAGCATGTTGGCCAGCTCAGTTCTGACCTTGTCAGATCCAACTAGGCCATCGACTCCGTCGGGATGTGACAACGATCTTAAGGGCTGAGGAACTTTCACCCCAAGAGCGGAAAGAGCAGGCAGCGGGCGTTCTCTTGCTTTGGAAGCGGTTCCACAAGGCGGAGCCATGTGAACAAATGCCACCAACTCCTCGTTCGCCCGCAAAAAATCTATCAACGCACGCTGCTGCAAAGGGTTTGTCAGGTCATGCATGGTGAGGTGATGCACTGTGGAAGTCGCCTTGTGATCCACTGCAACGGTCTGAAAGCCTGCTCGCAAGAAATCCCTGGAAAGGCGAGCGGATCCAGCAAAAATTTCCACAAAAATCAACTGTGAAACTGCCACGCCGTAATATTTGCCATGTGCGGCAGAGCCCTCTTGCACCCCAAAGCTGCACGACAGGCTTCTCTTCACACCTTTGGTTTGGAGCGGGCGTGCAAAGGTTGTAGCATCGGTCGGATCACACAGGCTGCTGCTTTGCGTTCCATCCGAGGCACAACTAAGTTGTGAAACACTCTCATGTGATGCGCAAGTCTGTCGCAAAGAATCTCCACTTGCGCAAGGTGAAACACTGGGGGCCCGACCCCCTAGTCAGTTTGTGCGACATGTCAGCACACTGTGCCCAGGCTTATGGCACTTTGCACATGTGTGAAGACCACGACAGCACTTCTTGGGATTTCCATGTGTGGCCTGGCCACACCCCGTCTGCAAATTGAAACCATAGCAAATGGGCTCACCATTGTCTGTACGCAACTTGAAATCTTTGAGGGCTTCAAGAAGCCTGGTCCTGTCCTTTGGCCGTGCTTTGGCCTTCTTATTGGCCCTCGGCTTTTCTGCTGAAGCCGTTTGAC